CAACCTGGTAGAAATAGTATCTCATTGGTAATATAATAAATAAAATGGTAATTTTAGAAGAGACAAGGTCATGCTTCCGCTATAAAAATGAAAACAAAGGCAAAACCAAAACATGCTTAACAGGTAGCTCTCAAGTTTAAAAGAAAACAAAATCAGAATTCAAAAGGGATCATACCAAAGTGTGCAGAGTGCTACTGAAGGAGACTTCTGTATTGTGGAGCTTTTACAGTGCATGCAGAAGAGGGTGGTTTACTGAGTCTCCATATACCCATATTTCATTTAAAATCATTCACATTTTGCCACTCTTGAGAAACCTTTAACTGGATAATTTGTGTGTTTGCAGCCAGCTGCTGATTTGCTGCAGTACAACAGAGCCCAGGTCCTATACCATGCCCTTTTCAATCACTTGTACATGCCAGAGCACCACCTCATTCAGGTATTGTAAGATTTACTCCTAACTGTCTGGGTTCTGGTATGAATAGAGGGTAGTGTTATGTAAGCAGGAGCAGTTTAGAGCTGTTTTCCCCTGGGAAAATGAGGGCACCTGAGAGCTGCTGCCTAATTAAGAGCATCTCAGTGTTAAGCGGGCATCCCCTCTCCTAAGCATCCACGAGTAGCCAGGGTTTTATCTTCATGCTTGTTGACTATATGCCACCTGTGGGTAGGTCTGTTTTTATTAAGTTAAATGTTCATCCTCTGTGCTGCTCCATGTCAACACATGTATTTCAAACCTCTTGTGTGACGATACTTAGTGTCATTCTCCCAGCCAACAGCCATTAGCTGATAGCTATTATGTTCTGTGCTAGGCTCCAAGAATAAATGAATCATAGTGTTTCTGGCTTGAAATCCTTTGGAAGACTTTTATGTGAATATATGACTGTACATGTATATCTCTGTGTATGCACAATACAGCGATAGCTATATTACACAAGGTGTAATGTGTGACCAGCAGCAGTAGGCAACTAGCAAGGTTGAGGATGGCTTTAGGAGACTGGGGATGACAAGATAAATGTTTATGAAGGGTAAAAAAGTAGTTTCTTAGGCGAGAGAAGAACACTGTAAAGACAGAAGAATCAAGTATAGAAATGTATAAGTAGAGACATCTTGTTTTTCTATTTGCTGGGACTGAATTCCAGTCCTCATACATGTAAGGAAGGTGCTCTATTCTGAGCCTCCTCTTCAACCTTTTGTTTCCATTTTTTGTGACAGGGTCTGATTCTAGCCCAGGCTGGCCTAGAACTTGCACTGACCCTGGCTACTAAGTGCTGGGATGGCAGGTACACAGCACAGTGTCCAGCAGCTCCTCCCTGCTTCTGTTTTGTGCTTTCTCTACCATAATGTTTTGAGTACTTAGAATTCATTAACATGGTGGAGAAAGGAGATTTTTAAAATCATTAGACACCTAGAAAAGCCTGAGGTCTCCAGAGTGCTAAAAGGGAATGCCTAGACACCATAACTTCAGATAAAGAAGTGCCCATGACTATCATGTAATACTAAGTCTAAGGCGTGCTATACCTAGATGCCTGGGTTAAGTAAGGCCTGAGCTCACCATTCTTTCCATTTCACAGATTACTAAAGAACAGTTCTGGAGGGGAAGTTTGAAAATTTGCAGTAACATGTACCTCATACGTTAATTACGGGTATCTTTTAGAATTCTATTACATATCCTAGGGACAGTAGATTAATGAAGATCTTAGAAAAGTCAGAAATGCTGTGAATGCAAATAAATGAACTATGTTTCTTTTTATTCTCTTCTCCCAGGCTGTGCTCCTGTGCCTCCTAGATTTGTTCCCTGTCCTAGAAAAAGGTCTGCACTGGAAGGGAGATGCAGTTCGAGCCACTACACACTGTCATGACGTACTACAACTGATACTCACCCACATGGAGCCAGAGCATCGCCTTCTCTTACGTAGGACTTACGCCAGAAACCTGCCAGCTTTTGTGAGGAAGTGAGTGCCTGGCTGCTCTGGTCATAATTGCCATGTTCAACTTCTTAGCATCTCATTTTCTCTTCTCTTTTTAGGTTGGGGATCCTCACTGTCCGGCACTTGAAGAGGCTGGAGCCAGTCATCATTGGTTATCTGGAGGTTTATGATGGACCAGAAGAAGAAACTAGGTTGAAGATATTGGAAACCCTGAAACTTGTCATGCAGTATGCTTGGCCCAGGTATAGCATCCATGCTGACAGATGTGCTAAAAGGACATGCTTAGGTTAACTTTCACTTCAGAACTTTCCCAGATAAAATATTTAGGACATGCAGTGTAGATGAATCTTTATTCATTTCTAGGATATACAGCTACTTCAAATATTCATTATTTGAATCCCTTTCAGGAGCCAGCAGTTCTAGGTTCGGACACAATTCAATCACTTCTCTTCCTTAAAAGTTCTAAGGGTGGGCACTGTGGCGCAGCCCTTTAATTCCAGCACTCAGGAGGCAGAGGCAGGCAGATCTCTGTAAGTTTGAGGCCAGCCTAATCTATATAATGAGTTTCAGGCCAGCCAGGGCTACATAGAGAGACCCTTTCTTAAAATGACAAAAAAAAAAAAAAAATCACACAAAACAACAACAAAAAATTGTATGGTCTTGTAAGTTGGGAAACCTTGCTGATTGTGTTACTTTTGTATTGCTGTGGTGAGATACCATGACCAAAGCAATTTCTAGAAGAAAGTTTATTTGGAGCTTACAATTTGAGAGGGTTAAGTCCATGACCACCACAGAAGGGAGCATGACAGCAGACAGGCAGTAGCTGAGTGCTCACATCTTGAGATACAGAGGATGAAGGAAGAGAGAGCCAACTAGAAATGGCATGGGCTTTTAAAACTTCAAAGCCCATCCCTAGTGCTATACCTTCTAATTTTTTTCCAAACAGTTCTTCCCACTGGGACCAAGTATTCCAATACATGAGCCTATGGGGTCTATTCTCATTGAATATACTACACAGATGGTCGGTCCAGATTGTAATTTAATTCATATCAAAATACTAAAGGCTATTTAGGGCTGATGTGTAGTTAAGTGGTAGAACACTTGCCTGTTATGCACAGGGTCTGATCCTCACCACGGCTCCTCCCCAAAAAGAGGACTTAGAGAAGTGCTTCATCCTACAGGTCCTACATCTGAAAAGTGGAATGAATACTTGGAGGCACATCACTCAGCATTTGCAGAACAGTGATTAGATTTGCTAAGTTAGGATATGCTTATTTAGAAGGCATTCCATATGTGGCTTGAAGGTGGCAGGAGTAAACAAGAACCTTACCAGTCTAGTCACCTAGCAGCTTTCTTGCATGAATGGGTTAATTGAGCCAGAAAATCCAGAGCCCCAACATGCTCTGTTTGTGAATGTATGTTCTTTCTTATAAATATACCAAGAGTCAAGAAACTCCCCAGTGACAATCTTAAGTCACATTTGTAACTACATTGCACCTCTTCATCTATCAGCTTTGTCCCCCACTAAACTACAGGATAGAAGACCACATCTATGATGTACTCCTGAAGCACTCAGTACCTGTTATTAGGTACATAAGTAATTAGAGAATGAATAGATGGATAAAAGGAATTGAATCAAACTCTTTCTATCCTGGGCCTTACAGAGTAAAGACTCCAAGGAGAAGGGAAGTGAAGAAATGTTAGGGAGGTTAAGGCAGGAGCATGTGTATCTCTGAGTAGAGGCAGAGCATGGGAAGTGAACACAGTAGACTATAGTGAGTGGTTACAGAGAAACACAAGCTGTAGGGAAACACTCAATAGTTTTGAGATGAAGGGATGGAAATGTTTTTGCTAGTCAGTTCTACCCAGAAATATGGTTTATAAATATATTTTTCCCACAGTACACGTTATTTTCCACCTTTCATTAAAATTTAGTTTATAAAACTTACCAAGTTAAAGGCTATAACTTAGTGGCATGATATACAGCCAGAATGTTATATAGCCAATGCTTGAGTCCATTTCATCAAAAGGATGAATTCTTAGAGAAAAGTAGTTAATAAAAGACTAGAAAAGGCAATCGAGTAGCCAGTGACTGCAAGTTCATATTGATACTTAAGCACTACCAGTCATCTTTATTCCTGTCTTTTAAAGCAAGGTGTCTCTCTGTAGTAAAGCTCGAGTTCTAGACCCTCCTGTGTCCTAAGTGTTGGGATTATAAGCACATACCACTACCTGCAGCCTCACTTTATTCTTAATGTCCAGGCATTAAGTTGCATGACTGGGCTGTCTTATCTTCAGTCAAGAGCAGAGGGCCTTGAAAAGGAGAGATCTTGGCCCATCTTATTCTCAACCCATAATAGGGCAATTTCCATGAACAGAATCAAGCATTGGCAGGAAACAAAGTTGAGTTTTCTGTTTGAGACAGAGCCTTGCTGTAGCCCTGCTGCTCAAAAACTCAGAGCCCCAACTGTCTGTGCTCCCTGACTGGGACGTGTTCTTGAACAAGCCAATGTGTGTACACAGGTTGGGTGCAATAGAAAGGAACTTTTGAGACTAACAATCTGCCGTCTCCTTGGTCCTCTTTGCAGTGCTTCAATAGCAAACATCATTTGACTTCAGTTTTCCCATGCCTGGACCAAGTCTCACCCAAGTTTAACATTCTAGTTTGCATATGAAGGTTTTCTTTCTGATTCCAGAATTCCCTGCAGAGTTGTGGTTTTGCTGAAGGCTCTCCTGAAACTAATATGTGATGTAGCAAGGGACACAAGCCTCACAACTGAGGCCACTAAGTGCACCCTGCTCCAAGAAGCCACAGACTGCCTGATTCTTTTGGACCACTGTTCTCAGGGGCAGGTGAAGGTAAGGCAGTCTTCAAGTCGGTTTCATTTGGCCTCTTTGTTTCTAGGTAACCCCAGTGATTAACTGTAATTTACTATGTGTATACTCAGCCCAGTTTGGACATGAGCATGGAGGGTGTTAGGCCCCCTACCTCTGTACTCTGGTCTTGGACTGTCTTCGATACCTTCCCCTATTTATTTTTGATGCTAGGGCTGAACTCCTTTTAATACTATTCAAAACCATTTAGAGCAAGAGTATCAGATGTTACTGGCATTTAGGACAAGAAAGAACAAGCAAGCCACCAAGATTCTATAAAATTAAGTTCTGAGATTGACACGATACCTTCTGTGTTTGTGAGACAGATCCCTTAAAGTTCTGTTCTAAACTTCAAATTAAAACCAGTACCAAGAAAGCTCAACAAAATGAGGCTGTAAGCTGCCAAGGAGGAATACTTTAATTGAGATACCACAGTGTACCCATGGTGGCACCTCAGAGATGTTTGTCTCATGTGTGCTTGTGTAGGTAAAAAAGGTGACATGGGGTGTCATTCCTGAAGTACCATCTCCACTTTCCCTTTTAGACAGAATCTGACAGGGAGCTCTGCAAGCAGGCTTGACTGGCTGGCTTGCTAGTGGGCAAGTGGTCCCTGAGGATCTGCTTGTCTCCTCCCCATACTGCAGTTATGGGTGTGTGCTCCCACTTATGACAAGCATGGAATTTAAATATGGAACTGAAATCAGGCCCCAGTGCTCCTCCCACTGACCTATCTCCCCAGTTTGCAGATACTCAGTTTACCAGCAAGAAATTCTTTAGTTTCATCTTCTACAAAATTCTCAGAGTAGTTTATGGTATCTTTACTGTGTATTTACATATAATTAAAAGACTAATTTCCATCAAAGATTAAAGGAGCATGAGAAGAAATTCATGCCCCAAAATATGTACAGCGGTTTTTTTTTGGTGGGGGGGGGGGTTCAAGACAGGGTTTCTGTGTAGCTTTGGAGCCTATCCGGGAACTTGTTCTATAAACCAGGCTGGCCTTGAACTCAGAGATCCGCCTGCTCCTGCCTCCGAGTGCTGGGATTAAAGGTGTACGCCAACACCTGGCCAGTTTTTTCAGTTTATTAAAACATTTCATTGCTGCCCTTTATGTTTGTGCAGTTTTCCAGTCCAGTTTGAGTTGTTTTGGCTGGGATGAAGCAGGCTCTTGAGAGCCAATGGGCTACTTACAAGCATGGGACAATTTTTAAGTGACATCTGTTCTGACGGAGACATTTAACCTTAGTGCCATGCACCTCTCACTGAGTATGTGGGAAAAGAGACAGTGGGGAAAACAGGTTTTACACAAATGAATGTCTGTTTGGTTTCATGTTTCAGGTTCTTCTGTCTAAAATTGTCCTATCCTGTGAAGACCGCACAGTGGTGAACTGCATCAGGAGAGTGCAGCAGAGCTCTGCAGCTGTTCCCTGTGATGACTCTTAGATAAGGAACCAGCAAGAAAGGGCGCTTTTCCTATCCCAGATCATATGGATGGAGTTACAGAAAATTCTATTTTTATATTAAAGATTGTAAGTTACAACTTTGTTTCCTTCAGTTTATCCTTATAAGAGAAACTGAACAAGAAAGAAAATAAAAAAGAAATTGAAGCCAGTGTGGTGGCACACCTTTAATCCCAGCACTCAGCAGGCAGAGGCTGAGTTTGAGGCTAGCCTGATCTAGAAAGAGTTCCAGGACAGCCCAGGCAACACAGAGAAACCTTGCCTTAAAAAACCAAAAGGGATAAAGAAACAATGTCATTTCTAAGTAAAAATGGGGAGGGGGAGACTTTAGCACTTGTAATTCAGAAATATTTACAGGCACAATGTCATTCCAGCTCCAGGAATTCATCAATTAGGCCCCTTGGGCTCCCTCTGTTACAGCACATGTATTAAAAAAAATACTGTACAATTGAGACTCTTCTCCTCTCACTCCAGGTTTTTGGTCCACTGAAGTGACATAAATATTAACAATATAAATACTGTATGAAATATAGCACAAAAGAGCACAGTGGAAAGTGTTGATTTTTCAGGATAAATCGTGAAGGGAACTCATGTGGTTTTGGCTTTGGTCATGGGCTCTGTCTCCTGCTCATACTCTATTTCCACATAGGCCCGTTTTTTCCGCAAAGGTCCTTTCAAGGGTGCTTTGCCTTTGTGTTTGGCCTTAAGGGCCTTTTCTTCTTCTTCTTCTTCACTGGAGGATTCTTCATCCTGTCCTTCGTCACTGCCAGCATCCAGTTTATCCATATCCTAATACGTGGACACAGAAGTCAGAGAGGGAAAGTGCAGGATTTCTCCAAACTCCCTTCCCCACTCTGCCCATTCAGAAGAGACTAGAGAGCTTATATCTGCTCTTGTGTGTTCAGATCCTCCATACTTTCCCCCTTTGCTGCAGGCCACAAGACATTCTTTATCCCACAGAGCTCACCTCAAAGTCACTCAGGTCACTCTCATCTACCTCATCATCTTCTACAAACTCTCTTTTCCCCACATCCTAAAATAAAACAGTTACCAGGTTAGAAAAAAAAAAAAAAAAAGATCCAGTTTAGCCATCTAATTTCACCTCTTTTCATAAATAAGTGAATCAGAGTCTACTTACATATTCAGCTACAGAAATTTACTACTCTCAAGTTTAACGTTTATACATCAAAAAGAAAAATTAAGGATGTAAAAGTCAGTACAGTTGGTTGCTGAACTCTGCTAAACCAAAATTAATCATCACACGATACAAATGGGGGTATAAATAATGCTCCCTCTGAATTACATGAGAACATGTCATCCTAAAGATTACTTTGTTTCAAAACAAGACAAACCATACTCACCTCTTCATCTTCCTCCTCATCTTCTTCTTCTTCAGAGTCACTCTCTGCTTCCTGTTTCTCTAGGGCCTTATCGAAGGCATGGATGGGGAAGTTGTAGATGTCACCATACTGGAAAACAAACAGACTGCCTTTAACTATTCTTGAGAATTACATCTTCCAAAGTTCTGCCTGACAAGCATACTATTCACCATCAGGGAATGAACAATTTTCTACAGTTTTCCAACCTAGGTACAGCATGTTTATGACATTTATGATATTAAATAGATGGCTTCTATGGCGAAGAGAACCAAGTCATTTCAAACCTACTGGCTTATGGAACCACATGCATTGGGACAAATCTAATTTTGCTTAGAAAAGGAAATAACACGTTTTAATTACCTTTCCATCTTTCTAAATGACATTGACCTTAGTCAAAAGGCTGAGATATTTTAAAAAAAGATTTTTAAAACCTCATTTTAAGGACCTCAAAAGATTAGAGTAATACATAGAGGCAGAAACTATTGGGACTGAGAATGCAGCTGGGTTGGCAGAGTACTTATTCATCACATACAAATTTCTGGCTTTAATCCCCAACATCATATACACTTGCATGGTGACAGACACCTATAATCCAGCATGTGGGAGGTTCAAGGCAGGAGGATCAAGAATGGAAACTCTTCTTTTGCTACATAGTGAATCCTGAGGCTATCATCAGATTAGTCTCAAAACAACAAAATAAACTATAGGGAGGTACAGTAGTGCATGAATGTTTGCTGATGACATGGCCATGCCAAGGACCCCAGAGCATCAGACCCATGGAAGAATGGTAAAGCTTTCTTTCAGGGTGAGGCTCAAAGAAGGATGACAAAGCTGTCCTCTGGTCTGTGTGCACATGCTGACAGTGTGTGCAGAAAATGACTACTATAACTCCCCAACATTTATGGTCTGAAGAAGTCCCTACTACAGAGACTGCTCCTACTAATATTTAGCTAAACCTGTCTCCTTATTTATCTGTACGCAATAACCCCACTCCCTTGTTTAGCTGTATGCAATTATCACCTCTATATAGTAAACATGCTAAGCTTGCAAGATGCTCAGGTTTCTCAGCTTTCTGCCTATCTTTTTATTCTTTGCTGCCTGAAGTCAGGTCTGTCCCTGGAGGCTGTGCATGGGCAGGGAAAAAAAAAAAAAAAAAACCTATGACATCCATTCATTTTATTTATTTATGGTTTTCGAGAAAGGGTTTCTATGTAGCTTTGGAGGCTGTCCTGAACTTTTATGTTTTTATATAGAACTGTTGATCTTGGAAGTGCCAACTGGAAATAAGGGCAAACCGAAAAAAGTCTCATCAGAAAAACAGGCCTACACAAATTTGTTTTATTCCATGGACGAATTGCAGTGGGAAGGCTATTTGGGACATGTTTAAAAATAAATACACTGGGAGAGGGATACATGCCTTTAATCCCAGCACTTGGGAGGCAGAGACAGGTAGATCTCGGTGAATTGGAGGTCAGCCTGACCTACAAAGCGAGTTCCAGGACAGCCAGGGCTGTTACATAGAGAAACCCTGTCCTGAAAAACCAAATAAATAAATGAGTAAGCAAACAAACAGATAGTTTGGGGGAAATGCACTTCCTGTACTTCCTCACATGGTACTACTACTTAACATTTGCCCCAACACTACTAGCTTTCTCACCGTGTCTTGTTTCAGTCTTTCCAGTAATTCCTTCTCAATGGCATTGTCCAGCTGGGCAGCTATTAACGCTTTTTCCTATAAGAAAAATAGCAAACCCATTACTCCATTTGGATTCACTTTCTCGTCTGTACAAATATAATTGCCAATTTTTAATAACAGTATGATGTAATGTGGTTACTTCCTACTGGCCTCCATTAGTGAGGCTTTTGCCTCTAGCTAGATACATTTCTTCTTTCCTTCTCAAAGTCTCTTGGGAATCTTCAATTAAACAATTTCCTTCTATAATTTGCATAAATGTAATAAATAAAGTGAAAATAATTCCTATAGCTTCAGCAACAGTATTCTGAATTTTTAACAAGCCCGTGTTAGACAGACTATACATGTATGCCTGCATACACTTAAAAATGTCAGAGGGCTGGGGGAGATGGCTCAGTTGGTAAAGTGTTTGACCTGTAAATCAAGGACCTAAGTTTGGACTTCCTGCAGGATCCATGCAGAAGTCAGGCATAATGACACATACCGGTGTTTGTGCCAAAAGCAAGAGAGGAGGCAGAGATATGTGGACCCTGAAAGTCTATGGGAAAGATCTTTGCTTACAGAGTTGAGGCCAATAAAAGATCTCTCAAACAGAATGAGCCTGAGGCCTGTCACCCAGGGCTGTCTTCTGATTTCCATATGCATGCTACGCCATGCATGTGCATTGTGAACACAATAAGTAAATACATTAATGGATTAAAAACAGTGTCAGAAAATACTTTTGGTGAGAAAGAGGAAGCCTTTGAATTCACAGGGAGAAAGTGTAACACACTCTGAAATGTTTGCATGAACACAGAAACTCACTAGCTAGACTTGAATAAAATGGGTGCATAATTAATGGAGAATTAAGAATTCACAATGAATGTAGTCTCCATTCACATAAGCTGTGTGTGTTACACACATGCAATTCCAGTACCATGGGATGCTGACAAAGGAGGATTATGTAAGACCAGTTTAGATCACATAGTAAGATGCTGTCTTGGACAGCAATGAAACGATAGATTAGCTAGAAAACTCCATGTGATTAGTGGGGGTAAAAGTACCAAAGATTATTGAAGATGTTCCTTAAAAGGAAAAAGGGAGGCAAATGCCATTTGGTCAAAGAGAGAAAAATGCAAATGCCATGAATGAATAAAAACTGGAGCTTGTTGGGAACAACCGACTCTTAAGTATAGCACTTGAAGACCATGGAAGCTCAGGTGGACTCGGAAGTATCAGTGAGAAGGGATGGACAGACTACCCTCTGGACAAAAGATGGAGATTCTGGAGCAGGCCATGCTCTTCATGCACATCATCACCACCCCTTTACTTTAGAAACAAAACCACCCAGTTTACTTCAGAGCAGCTTAATCCGAGATTAGAGCAGTGTGTCCTTCTTTTTTTTTTTTTTTTTTTTTTTTTTTTTTTTTTTTTTTTACCAACAGTCCCACAACCAAAACCTTTCAATTTTCTAAGTAATATAACCACAATTAGCCACGGGGCTACTTAAAGACAGGGTTTAAACTCTGCCGAAGGCAATGTATGAGACAGGCAATGTCAAAATTCTAAATTCTGAAATGTTTGACTCGAAGAATTTTAGACATGGTGTTATCTAAAATACCCTTTTACTGTTTCCCATTATATCCAAACACCCCAGAGTATCTATTTTTATCCTTCAGTGAAAATCATAGTAATCTGAAGACATGAAAGAGATCATGTCACAGAAGATAAACCACCCATTAGTGACTTGTTATTCTGAGTCCATGCATCCAACTCCCTTTTCACATGAAAATACAGATGCTATGTAAATATCAGCACATGTTACCTCTCTTCTTTTTTCCCTTCGTTCCACTTTCTTACTCAAAGGAACAAGTTTCTTCCTAGCAGAAATAAAATACATTATATTAGAAAATTCAAGTTCATTTTAAAGACTAAAGAATTAAAACTGATTTTGTGTGGGCTCCATATAGCAAAACATATAGTACATATGTTTCTAGATATTCAGGCTGCTGGTATAGCTCAGTGACTAAACATCTGCTCAGCACATGCAAGGCTCTGCATGTACATATGTGCATGAACACACACACACACACACACACACACACACACACACACACACAGCGGAATGGTATGAAAGTCAGGAGTCTAGGTAATGGCATCACATCACTGAGGTGAGGCAGAAGGATCACTACGAGTTGGAAACTACATAAGTTTCCAGGCCAGCTTGGAGGATGTGATGTTGTCTTAACTCTCTACCAACAGATTTGTTTGTTTGTTTTTGTTTTTGAGACAGGGTCTCTCTGTATAGCCCTGGCTGTCCTGGAACTTGCTTTGTAGACCAGGTTGGCCTTGAACTCAGTGATCAACCTGCCTCTGCCTCAAAGTGCTGGGATTAAACTATATGCCACCACATCCAGCTATAAGTGTCAGATATTTTCACATGTATTTTAACATGGTTACTTTTGTTTTCTTTAGGTTCACTATAGTAAGATCAATGCTTCAGTGAACTAAGAAAAAGGAATTTTCTGGAAAAGGTTCACGTGATTTTTAACATTCTCTGATCTCAATGAAAAGGCCTTCATCTCACACACCCTCAGAAGGTATTCTACTAGTCCTGTGGGTTCCACATCATCTTCACTCGAGTGGAGTTCATACACCTGTTAATCACATTTATAGACCATTCTGAAGCCTTTCATTTTAGTTTTTCTTAGGGACTACACAGAACAATTTCCAGGCAGGCAGAATAATCAATCACATATCTTACTCTAAAATCCTACAGAAGCACTGGACACATCTTTATCCCAGAGTTTTTTCTTGGCATATCGTAAAAGATTAGTCACGGTTAAATTTCATAGAAAACACTGTTTGTGACTGGTCTAGGAAAAGGTAGCAGGCTGAAAGTGAATAAAGGAATGAGCCTGGCCCTTACCGTCGCTTCAGCGTAAGTTTTCTAATTCGAATCAGGTACTGGGTAATCTTGGTAAACCTCTGCTTACATTTGTGCCGAATGAAGCGGGGCCAGTAAATTAAATTTTCATCTATTTGTTCCAGTGCTTTCTCATAGTTTTTACTAAGTCGGACCTGTGGAACACAAAAGGGAAATGTGAGATGGAAAAGTAAATCATGTTAGGTCCTCATCGTCAGCACCAACTGGATATAATGAAGATGGCTCCAAATTCTAGAGATGGCCCAGGGAAGAGGGAAGCACATGGCATTCTTGCTGTTGACCTATGGTCACTGCAGTTTTCTCAATGAGTCTTACCCGTTCCCAGAGCCGCCGAGGAAAAGCTGCCCGTTCTATAACTTTCATATACAGGTAGCACTGTCCTGAGAAGTTAAACAGCTGTGTTATTATTTATAGAGACTAGGAAGAACCTGTTACAAACTGTTGTGTAGTTTTCATACCTTTCTCTTCTTTAATTGTAGCATACTGACTATTTGCTAAAGGACAGGATGACCGATTGCACAGCCCAGTCAGACTATACTCATTTCTGCAAAAGCCTTGAGTCTTGGTTCTAGGATGCAAGGAGAATAATGTTTACAACCAAGGGGGCAACTAAATGCTTGTTTGTCTAGCAACTAAATGCTTGTTTGTCTAGGCTGCAATATACTCACCTTATTTTGAAAGAACAAAATTGCTTGTTTCCTAGGGTATTCCAGATAACCTGCAAGACAAAGTGAAAGCCCTTTTGCTCTGGCCCCAAAGATGCTGTTTAACATAAAAAGATACAATGTTCTCCAGGCTGCAAATGGTGCTCACTGGTAGAATTCTTCCCAGCATATGCAAAGCCCTCTGTTTAGTCTCCACCACCACCACCAAATTCCAAAAAAAAAAAAAAAAAAAGATGAGAACCATGTCTTAGCACAGTCTGCAGCACCTCAATAAGTAAAGGGTCTTTAGGGAATGAAAAGAAGTTTTCTTTTAATAGGTTTGATTTGTTTCCTTTACACAATAACATAGTCTTGTAAAACCAAACCAAACCACCTGAATACAGCCAGGTGGATGTGACAAACTTTAATCCTTTAATCCCAGCTCTTGGGAGATAGAGCTTTGTAAATTCAAGGCCAGCCTGGTCTTAGCAACAGAATTTCATTAATAGTTGGCTTAACTATTTTCCCCACTTTTTCCAGTATATACATTCACTCTATCATCTGTAATATGTACCTGTGTATAATGTTAAAATTAATCATATATATATATATATATATATATATATATATATATATATCTTGTAACTTTTCTTTTCACATGTCTCCATTATCCACTGTCAAAGGCTGCACACTACACACTACTAAATACTCAGATATACATACCACAACTCTATTACCTTTTACTATCTCGCACTGGTTAATGTGTTCTTTATTCTAATGCAAAAGCACTGATGTCTCCATAAACACTTGAGTGTTTGTTGGATAAAAGAAAGTACAGTCCTCCAAGCACCATCTATATTTAGTCAGGAGAAAATGATGCATAAACAAGTTGCAGTCAATTTAAAAGCGGTATATGGGTGTATGAGAGCACAGAAGTCTTTGGACGGACTGCTTTGAGGAACCGAAAAAGACTCTAAAGCAACTAAAAGAAAAAATGAAGAAAGGTCAAAGAATAAAACACATGCTGGGGATTTAACAGGGATGTCTGATGGTGGAGGAAGGAGGCAAAAAATGAAATGGGAAAGGGGGATGCCATTAAAGCTTGTAGCCTTTAAACGTCATTGGGTCAGACTGCTTTCCTAAGCGCCAGATTTGTCTATGCATCTAGCTGCCCACTTGGCATCTCTAAAAGGATCCAGATGATAAACACAGCAAAAAGCAACTCTCAATTCCACACTCCTCCAAAGAACACAGCATTCCTCCCAGTTCCCACTAAAAGAACCTAAAGGCACTTTATCCAAGACTCAGCCTGACCTTGCCCTGGCAAGCTTATCAAATTTGTCGTCCTTCTCTCATCCTCTTGATTCCTGTAAAGAGTCCCATCGGTGCCTTCTATATTCCGCCTTTCCATCTCCAATCTTTACACCTTTACCATTCCTACCCTCCTTCAGTGGCTGGGTCATTTTTTTCTTCTTTTTTTTTTTTTTTTTTTTTTTTTTTTTTTTTTTGGTCTTTATCCAAATGTCTGACTGGCCTTCTCTGCAGTGGTCTCTCCTCTCCACTCTTCTCCATTACTCTTCTTTCGTGGGACCATTTACATCTGTTTATTCTCCATCCCCAGAGGGCTTATGAGAGCCCAAGTCTTTTGTCTGACTGGTTAACCAAATCCTCAGTAATTACAATTCCCAGACACTGCTGGAATTGATAAGTAAACAGACGAACCTAGGATACTTCCGAAATTACGACTTAAGACAATAGAGCAAAGTAAAGAAAATCCTAACACAGGAAAAGTACACTGAAAAGGCACGCTCATGGACGAGCAGGACTCTTAAACAGGAATTTTCGCACCTCTCCCGCCTTCCAAAGCCAGGAACTACTGACATTCAGCTAGTAATGGCACAGGAGCCTTTATTGCAAGGCACCGGGGACTAAGTAAGTCCAGCCGATGGGCTGACGTTAGGGTGTCCAGGCCGCTTAGATAAACTCGAGTGGGAACCCATTTGAAAATGGGGGTTCTGGAAGTCTCGCAATCCGAGAAAACTGGGGACGAACGGGCCATCTAAGTATGCGGATCTGAGTGCTAAGTGAGCGAAACGTCCCGCACAAAACCCTGGGCTCCAGAGCAAGGGGAGGGAACTCACATCATCCGACTGCATGGTGCCGGCGGGTCAGCACGCCGCGTTAGCCAGGACCAGGAAAGCAGACAAACTCCTTCCGGGGAGCCACTTCCGGAAAGACTGGCCTAACCTATCGCGAGAAAGATTCAATCTCGCGAAAGCTCGTGACGTCACCTGGTGGACTGAGCGTGCGCGCCTCCGTGCTCTAGCTCTGCGCTGGTTTCGCCTCCCGCGTTCTTTTACCATTTGGACACAGGCGGCTGCGCGTCTTGTTCGCTGTTTTTGGTGCGCTCGCGCCTAGCATCTTCCTCAGTGACAGGCCATGCTGGCTACTCATGTGAACTCGCCCCAGTCTCTAAAGAGCGGGACTCGTTTGTCCTAATTGAAGGCGCGCGGGGACTTAATGCTAATGCGGTCCCACATCTGGGCTGTGGCCGCGAACCTGTCAGGCTTGAAGTGTCAGCTCTTTTACCACCCTGCTGCGACTTGTAACAGCCACCTCTATTCTCACTTTGAAATGCACACTGTAGAGCTACTTTAAAGCGAAACAACAACAAACAAAAACCTGTGTGCAAGCGACCCCAAATATGACAGATTCTCCGAATCAGCCTTGCTTCTCCCATGGGAGTGCTGGGGACCAAACTCAGGTGTCCAGGCTCATACAACCTCCTGAGCCATCATCCACTGAGAATGCTTTTTAAAGGACATCAGGGGTGATAATATAATGAAGTTTACTTCTCCCATTCTCTCTCCTGAAAGCCATTAAGTAAGTCATAAAGTAATTTTGGAGCAACTGCCATGTACCACCAGATCCAGTCCCAGGGTCTAGGAAAACAACAGCAAAGAGGGAAAATGTTCTATGCCTTCAAGGTGCTTACTTGGTAATGGGGATTCAGAAAATAAGTAAATAAATCATACCATATGCTATATAGTGTAATATTTCAGTACTAGTAAGTGTTGTAAAAGCAATGAAGCAGCTGTGCACCGTATACAACTCTCAGCTATTTGGGAGGCAGAGATACAAAGATTGCTTTTGTCCAGGAGCTTGAGTCCTATAGGGAGGCCACATCTTGATGATGGTTATGATTATAACTGCAATGATAAAGCAAAAGAAGTTAGTGGAGGCTTTTTGTTTTTGTTTTTGTTTTTTGAAAGAGTTATTGGGAGAACTCCATAGTGAAAGACCCCCGCCCTTAGCTTTCTCTTTTAAGTTTTCCCGCATGCCGCTGGCGAATACATCCTCTCCTGCCCCCCCTGACCCTTGATCCCCACAGCTGCCGGCACTTCCCCGCCGCCGCGCAAGGCCGGCCCCGGCCCCCG